ACAACACATAAATAGGATAAGCGTGCCTACAGGTGTAGCAGCCTTTAATATTTGTTACAATAAAAATGCTTCAAAATAAAGTCCTTCACTATAAATATTCAGGCAAGCACTACCAATCCAATCATAATAGTATACACAATCAAAATCTATCTACAAAAGAGGAAAGATACATATTAAGATAATTTAATATATTTATATACCCACATTAACAATAATTAACTCAAAAAGTTTGGTTGGTGGGTAAACATAATAACGAACTGCTGCTACGTTAACTAAAGGCAAACTTCGAATAACGTTAATTTCCCAAACGAACCCCTTAAGTATAATACCTAATCATGCTTTTCACGAATCTCATGAGCTGCATATACTCGTAAAAGCCGCATTGCAGGGATAAGCCATCCACTCATATTTAACATAAACACAAACCATGTGCTTAGTATAAACACAAACACGTGTTTATAGTAAACAATCACTTGACCGTTACAACGTCATGTGACCGATAACTTTAATAAATATATTTATTTCTTATGCATCATAAATACTGCAATCTGATTGGCTGCGCCTCAGGGTGTATGAATTTTCAACAACGGTGTAAAATTCTGTACACCCCTGATTACACCAAGATAACTAATAAAATGCATCCCCTTTGCCGGCTTTACTTAAACGTGGCTATGTTACCATGGCCACCAAAATAAGGTTGTTAACTTAAATTTATGCCCTAAGAGTTGGGTGTATTTGATATTTCTTATCTTTTAAAGCTTTTTTTACAAATAACATTTAATTAAGAGAAACAGCTTGAAATATAGAGGATCTTATTCGCAAGAATGAAGGAGGTTAGTCATTTGAGAAATTAAAAGAAAGCTTGTCGCGATATATATAATTAATTTTAGAATTTTAGCATAGTTTTTGTTTTAAAAATTTCCATGACGTTAATTATATATGTCATGAATCAATCAAAAAAATAATGTACGATATGTTCGAGAGAACAGATGTTCGACACATTTTAATTCTAAAACCAATTTTGTTTTTTTCTACCATCTTTGAAATTGCAATTTAACAAATACTTTCTAAAAACCGTGATATATTACAATAACAATAATAAGCATATTTCATTTAAATGTATTCTTATGGGCGAAAATTACCTTCTAGACATATAGGTAAAATGTCAAGCCTTTTTTTATATTTCTGTACACCATGCGCTTGTACTATATCAAATGGTGCGTTGCACAATCCTAATGGTAATAAGCATATTGCACGATCAGAAAAAAATTACATAAAGTGACTAAAATCAAAGGTAAAGCATATTTGCACCAAGAATGCTACAAAAATTATTCGGTTCATCTTCAAAATTCTGGAATTATAAAAAAAAAAAACAAAACAAAAACAAGGTCCTTTTCATTTACTGATTAAAAATATTTTTAAAATGTATCAAAATAATAAGATGGTTATAGTTGCTATATCTAACTTGCATCGCATAACACATTTGGGTAGGTCTTGGACATTGAATGAAAATCGTTAGTTGCTTACTTATTTTTGATAGTTTTTTCAAGTCTGATTATCTTCCAGTTGATACATTATTCCAAGGCTTGCTTTATCATGGATATCAACATGGATGTTATCACAAGAAAGGTTTCAAAGTGTAAAGTTGAAGTCATATCTTAGAAAGTTTTATGGACGGCATGATGGGTCGATTTACCGTTATGGAGTATCATCGTCACATATTAACACGTATATGTTCCACTGGTCGTATCCACAATCACATTCTGCTTCCTCGATTGGGACATTTCTTCAATATTATAAGAGTTCATCCCTGTTACTCAATCTTTAGTTTACTATGTAGTGTTTTGTGAACGGTTCTTTGTCTTTTCGTAGTTTTCCTTTTGACTATGGTGTTGAGTGTTTTCTTTGATTCATAGGTTTATATCCCCCCGTGGTATCCCCTATCCGACAATCTTTGTAGATACAGAATGTCTTAAACAGTTAATTATATGCACAACGGTAAAAAAATTAATCTAAGAACATCCATCTTGTGCACACGTCTTGATAACATGTTGATTTGATTGGCCCGTTTATATCTTCTTATTTTTGCTACGTAGTATCAATTTGGAAAATAGACAGAAGATGGAAATAGAACACTCAAAACTCATAAATCGAGAGAATGGCAAATAACTAAAGACGACATAAAAACAAAAAAAACAGAAAAAATGGTAATGAGTTTAAAGTTAAAAAAACAACAACATAGAAAGCTAACGACTGCGCAACACAAACCTAATCAAAATGCACCGGAAGGATAAGCAGATCCTGCTCTAATAGTGGCACCCGTTGTGTTACTGGTAAGTACAAATTCGGCAATGAGTTTGAATAGGTGATGTCACAATCTAGGAAAAGAGAACGGGTTTGTGGTTACGACGGTTGGAATTATCCATGTTATATGTGACACAGATATTCCACAGTGGTCAACTAACTCGTGATGGCGTCCGTCTATCTTTCGGAGGGATGACCTAAACTTTACCACGTGCAGGAAACATTGCTTAAATAGCTACCCTGCAAGCAGCAACCCTTTATCAAGCAAATCATGATATGATACATTTAATGGCCACGTTGTTATTGTCTGCGAAATATTAACAAAGTGTCCACGGTGAATTTATCGATGTTAAACTTAGCTTGTCGAGCAATGATGTTTTCATACGTAAATTATAAAATGTTTTCTTCACAAGGACATCAATTAAAGTTACCTTCGCACGGTTCGAGTATCAAAACATCATTTAAAAAATAAGAAAAGTTTATTCTTGTGTACTGTAATATGTTCAGATTAATACAAGTATGAAAATAAGAACATGTAGTTTCATTGCCAACGAGACAACTATCCACCAAGACCCAATTGACAAGGACACGTTAAACTATTCGACTGTGTAGTCAATGCACACACATACTTTAATTCATTTTGTTTGTGTTGTAAAATATGAATAATTTGTTATGTTTTATAAAAACCAAAGGCACCCTTAAGTTACACGTTCCATGATTTAATTGTCTTCAATAAAGATAGGCAACCTTAACGTCATTGTATTTTGTACACATTCAAATAGATAATCTGTGTTTGATCATTCAAAACGGAATTTCAAAGCTGCGCACTGAAAGCTTCACCCTGTAATTTTTTAAATTTTGAATTAGACACACTGGTATTATGTCTTCAATGTCTATCAATCATATGAATAAAGAAGAAGAAACACTATTCTTCTTTTGTAAAGTAATAACATATATGATGCATCGATGACCTGATTTCATGTCCACACAAACGAAGTGTATCAGTTTGATTACATGCTATTTCTCAAAGCGTTTTTAAAATATATGAACAACACAAAATGTCGGGTAAAACTAAATATAACTATAGATAAAAATATTAAATGAAAATAACACTTTATAAATTTGTTGTGTCCGACGAAATGTATGCGGTCTTCAACGATGGATCAGCATCGTATTTCATTGAGGCGTAGAAAGAGGATTGTCACATTCTCGAAGGATACAATAAAAACAGTTTTTAAAGCTTTTTTGTCCGGAACATTGTTCTGGCCGAAAAGAAAACGTTGACTCGTCACATTTCTTGTACCTTCCCTAGCTGAAGGTATTTGCCGCTTTTGCTTAAAATTTACCCGTTTTGTGGTAGGTAAATATATTTCATAGAAGCAGTCAAACACTGCCACTAACACTAACTTTTATTGCGATTTTTGCAGAATGGACAAAAATGTGAGATTAATTATTGGAATTTTTGGAAAAGCTGCGTACAGATATATCTGTCAGATATTAGAATGCGAGTTCTTATTATCACGTTTCTCACACAGTCGCAATTTTCGCAATAATAAAAACCTCGCAATAATATCTGAATTTACAGTATTCTAATAATATGAAGACATCGTACCTTTTCATGTTTTCCGTAAAGACTAGAAGAAAAGCATCCCTTAAATCAATAAAGAAAACCCCATTTGACTCCGCCATCGCAGACATTGGCGGCATTACACATAGGTATCTTGCTAAACTACCTTATTTCAACAGTATTTGTTGAATTGGTTGACTAGGTTTCTTTAAGACTATTGTGGTTTATGTGGGCATTTATTCATTTGACTCTTTAATTCTTTTGAATTCTTCGTTTTGAATGAAAATTTATTCAAAGGCTGTTATATTACATAGAAAGAAGTTAAGCTTTATTTTATTTTTCGTGATAATAACAATATATGTATATGGTCATTCACTTCTTACGAGTTCCACTCAGACAAGCGACTTCTTCGTAAAATTAAGCACAAATTAATAAAGTGTCATTTTCATTTCGAATGGTTACAAACCTCAACCACTTTTGATCACACAAAAGAATAATCAGTACACAATTTTTTACTGGGAATTACAAGATGTTTCCAAGATCATAAACCGCTAATAAGAAGAGCATTTTTTCACTAGGTGTTCCAATGAATTAGAATCGTTACCAGCTTTGATGGAAAGACAACACGACGGGTGTCGATAAGCAAGCAGAATACTTACTCTTCGAGATAAACGGGTTTCATTCCATGTTTTAGGTTGTACTAACTCCTTTTGTGTAATATTTAAAATTAATTTATCTTTCATGGTACTTGTTTGTTCTTGTGTCAATCCCTATTCTTACTTCCTCTAGTTAATCCGAAAAATTACAATGTTCTTTTCGAAATGTTCGTTTGTGGATGTATTAATCCGATTACTTTGTATTGTTCTCTCATCTGATATTTAATTTGCCTGTTTTGGATAGAGTTAAAATAATAAAATCGAGAATGGAAATGGGCAATATGTAAAAGAGACAACAACCCGACCAAAGAGCAGACAATAGCCGAAGGCCGCCAATGGGTCTTCAACGCAGCGAGAAAGAAAATCCCGCATCCTTAGAGAAATATTGGTTATCAATGTCTTTTGTACATTCACATGACTTTGTAATTACATAAATATAAATTGTATTGTATAAAAACTTAATATAAGACATCTGTCAAAAAAACCTTTTTCTTTTCGTTTAACGCTAACTTAGACATTCTATTAAATCATAGTGCATTTACATTTTACGTCTTAAATTTATCCAAGCAAGATACATCATATTTTAAACTAAATTTCAAAACTAAATGTATCAAAAATCTTTAGATATTACATTTACCAAAAACGGATTACTGTATCCGTATTTAGTAAGAATAATCATTCCTGATTTACCGATATAATTAAAACTTTAAAAATTTACATGAGAAAAAGAGAAATTGTAGCTTGAAAGGCTTAAATGTGAATGCAGCTACAAAATCAATGAATGGATCGGAATTTGATTCAAGTCTTTTCCGCAGTAAATGAAGAGAAAACACGATTTCTGTACTAAGTTTATCTAAACAAAATTTCAGTCTTTACTAGGCTACATCACTTCGGCACATACACAGTTTGCCCAAGCAATTACTGCATCTGTTGTTTCTTCACAAGTTGCAATAATTTGATCTTCGGGTAAAAGATGTCCAAATGTCCCTTTGTCTCGCAACAAAACTTCGTACGGAAACTTAATTCCTGCTGCTTTTGCATAATCTGCTGAAAGACCACCTAAGGTAGATTTTTCTGAAGTCTGCCTCGAACTATATACAACTCCATTCCGAGCTGTCGCTGCTGATGCTGCAGCTTTAGCGCATTTATCTAGGGTGGGTTTATCAGGTACCGGATCTTTCGTAAATCCCCAAGGATATATCCACAGTTGGCCAAAGCTGTGTATACTTAGATAACCAATAAAAGCCTTTTTCAACATCAGGTTTCTTTCTGCCTGACTTTCTAGTTCACTGAAAGGGAACGGACCAGAATAAAACTCATTGCAAGGATTTCTGGAACCACCGTTTTCTGGATTCCACTGCATTCCATAATTTCTATTCAGGTCGGTGCCTATGCATGTTTCATTAAACGGGTTTCTATTTTTCCTCCAAAGACGCTCAAAATTCGTTGCGTATACATAACCATCTGGATTTAAGACAGGTATGAAGTACCAATCAAACTTTTTGACAAGGTAATACCCTGCTTGGGTGGTTTTAAGGAAGTTTAGAAAGTACAAAACAAATGCATGTGAAATAAAATCTCTGGGATGTGTTCCACCGTCAACTAGAATAGCCTTCTTAGATTTTCCCTTACAGCTCCCACATTGTGTCTTCCGCTTAGTAAACATCTTCACCATGTAAATACTTCTCTCCTCGAAGGTTTTACCGATGATCTCAACCTTAGACTTAACCGTGCCGTGGTTACAATTAAAAGTTGCCAGGTACTTTTCTATTTTATCTAATGCATTGTACTTGTTAAAATGAAAGGCAAAGCCTATTTGCAGCAAGAATGATACACAAATTATTTGGTTCATCTTCCAAATTCTGAAATTATAAAAAACAAAAACAAGGTCATTTTTATGCACTGTGTAAAATTGTTTCAAAAATGTATCAAAATTAAAAGATAGTTATAGTTTCTATATTTAACTTATATTGCATAACACATTTGGGTAGGTCTTAGACATACAATGAAAATCGTCAGTTGCTTACTCAATACTGATAGTTTTTCAAGTCTGATTACATCACAGTTGATACGATATTCCAGGGCTTGTGTTATCATGATTATCTACAAGGATGTTATCGCAAGAAAAGTTCCAAATGGTAAAGTTGAAGTCATATCTTCGAAAGGTTTATTGACGCTATCATGGGTCGGTTGACCGTTATGGAGTATCATTGTCACCGATGATCACAGATATGTTCCACTGGTCGTACTTATAATCACGTCCTCTGATCCTCACGAAGGGCACAACTCGTGGAGCATCATATCACATAAGTTCATCCCGATTATTTGGTTGGGTTCATGCTGCTAAATCTTTAGTTTTCTGTGTTGTGTTTTGTGTACGGTTGTTTGTCTTTTCGTAGTTTTCCTTTTGACTATGGTGTTGACAGTTTTCTTCGACTCATGGTTTTATACCCCCTCCCCCTCTCCCATCAGTATCCCCTGTCCGACAATCACTGTAGACACAGAATGTCTGAAACAGTTAATTCTATCTCATACATGAAAAAAAAAACAACTTTTAATTATTAAAAGAAATTGAGTAAAAATGTCCATCTCTTGCACACCTGTTCACTTGTTTGCCCCTTTCTATCGTCTAAATTTTCTCTACGTAGAATCGATTAGGGAAAATGAGGCGGAAGATACCGACGGAATATTAATATTTCAGAAGTCGAGAGAAACTGACAACGCCATGGCAAAAAACGAAATATGACGAAAAAACAAAAAAGTTCACAAAACACTACATAAAAAACTAAAGACGAACGCAATAAAAAACCGGGAAGATCTCAGGTGCTTCGGAAGGATAAGCAGATCCCGCTGTTCTAGTGACGCCTGTCGTGTTACTCATGATTAAAACAAATATGGTAATGAGGCTCTATCGGTGATGTCACAATCGATTAAAAGAGGACAGGGTTGTGGTTGGAACTATTCGTGTCATTTTTGGGGCCCTTTATAGCTTGCTGTTCGGTGTGAGCCAAGGCTTCATGTTGAAGGCCGTATTTTGACCTCTAATGGTTTACTTTTACAAATTGTGACTTAGATGGAGAGTTGTCTCATTGGCACTCATACCACATTTTCTTATATCTATATATGACATAGATATTCAACAACAATCAAATAACTCGTTATACCGTCCGTAAACTTTCGAAGTGATGACCCAAACTTAACCACAAGGAACCCCCACTCCAATAGCTTCCTTGTTATATATATATATATATATATATATTTAAAAACTATGTTGTTATTTTCAACAAAATGTTAACAAAGTGTACATGGTGAATTCATGGATGTTAACTTAGCCTGTCAGGAATGATGATTTCATACGTGTTTTTTCACTAGGACATCAATTAAAAATGCCTTCTTGCGTTTCAAATGTAAAAACATCATATTTTACAAGACAATAAGAGTATATTCCTGTTTACTGAGATATGTTCAGCTTAATACAAGTATTAAAATAAGAAGATACAGTTTCATTGCTAACGAGACAACTATCCATCAAAACCCAATTGGAAAGGACAAGTTAAACTATTCGACTGTGTAGTCGTTATATATTTGATCTTATTTGTTTGTTTGGTAAAATATGAATACTTTGTCATGTGTGATAAAAACTAATGGCACCATTTAAGTTACTTGTTCCATGATTTGATTGTTTTCAATAAAAATAAGCAAACTTAACGTCATTGTATTTTGTACACACTCAAATAGATAATTTTAATTTCTTAATGATGATTGTGATTGACAAATCATTCAAAATCGAATTTCAAAGCTGCGCACTGAAAGTTCCATCCTGATATATTTTAAATGTTTGAATTAGATACACTGGTAGCATGTTTTCAATGTCTATCCATCATATGAATAAATAAGGAGATAAAAGATTTTTCTTTTGGCAAGTAATAACATATGGTGCATTGATGACACGATTTCATGTCCATACTAACGAAATGTGTGTATCAGTTTGTTTTCATGATAAGTTTCAAAGCCTGTTTAAAATATGAACACAAATTGTAAGGTAAAACTAAATATAACTAAAGAAAAAGATGTTAAACGAAAATAACACTTTATACATTTGTTGTATGCCACGAAATACGTATGCAAGCTCTCATTTCATTGAGGCGTAGAAAGAGGATTGCCACATTCTCGAGGGATACAGTAGAAACAATTTTTAAAGCTTTTATAACTGGAAAATTGTTATTGTCGAAAAGAAAAGGTTGACTCGTAACCTTTCTTGTAGCCTCAATAGCTCCCGGTATTTGTCACTTTTGTTTAAAATTTATCCGCGTTTTGACAAGTAAATACATCTCACAGAATCATCAAACACTGCCACTGTGGTTTTTATATTTTTATAATGATTTATGGATTAATACAGAACCCCCCCCCCCCCCCCCCCCCCCCAACCCCCTTCCCTTTTTGACTCCTGGATTGCAGACATTTGCGGTATAACACAAAGTTAGCTTACTGTACTATCTTATTTCAGTAGTATTGGGTGACTAGGTTTTCTTTAAGACTGTTGCGACTAATGTAGGCATTTGTTGATTTGACACTTTTTTTAAAAATTCATTCAAATGCTGTTATATTACATGAAAAAGTGTTAGCTTCATTTTAGATTTCGTGATAATAATGATAGAAATAATAATAATTATAATAATCTATATACACCCATGCAGCCGTAGAATTGATAACGATACATGTGTATGGTCATTCGCGCCTTATGAGTTCCACTCGGTCAAGCGACTTCTTTATAAAATTAAGTACAAATTAATTAATAAAGTGTTATTTTCTTTTCGAATGGTTACACCCCAAATACTATTGTACCCGTAATAGCATAATCAGTACACAATTTTATTACTGGTAATAACAAGATATTTCCACGATAATACGACGCTAACAAGAGAAGCATTTTTCGCGAAGTGTTCCAATTAATTTGAATCGCTATCAAGTTTGATGGAAAGGCAATACTACGGATGTCTATAAGCAAGCAAAATACTTACTCTTCTGGGTAGACGAGTATCATTACATGTTTTAGGCTGTACTCACTCGTTTTGTGTAAGATTTAATATTCATTTATCTTTCTTAGGACTTGCTTGTTCTTATGTCAATCCTTATTCTTACCTCCTCTTGTTTGTTTGAAAAATTACAGTGTTCTTTTCGAAATGTTTTGTTGTAGATGTATTGATCCGATTGACTTTGTATTGGTCTCTTATCTGATATTTAACTTACCTGTTTAGATAGTGTTGTATTTCCCTTGGTGAGATATTATCAATGTGTTTTGTACATTAGCATGACTTTTTATTTACATAATCATGGATTGTATTGAATAAAAAACTTAAGTATGAGACATCTGTCAAAAGAACCTTTATTTTTTACAAGTTGTTTAACGCTTACCTACACATTATTGTAGATCATGTGACATTTACTTTTTATGTCTTAAATTTAGCCAAGCAATAAGACACAACTTTTGTTAACTAAATTTCAAAAGAATAGTCATTCCTAATATACCGATACTATTAAAACAGAAAATTACATTGAAATTAAATTTCATATAAAAATCATATTATTGGAACATTTAAATTTGAGTTAATTAAATAGCATTTGATGCAAAGAACTGGAATAAAATTTCAGTTGTAACTCAGATTTTGAATTTATCAAATCTAACTGTAAATATAAAAAAGATACTACCCCACTTAAATTTAACAAAATTTACATTCATACTCACAATAAGGGAACTTATACAATGTTTACCATTTCATTATACCGTAGTGTCATCTAATTTTTAAAACAAAGTTTATCAAAATTTCAAAAAAAAAATAAGTAAGTCCTTACATCACTTAGACTAATCCACAAATAAAATGCCTAAAAAGGGAGCCATGCTTTAATTATAAACATTGTATTGACATGAATCAATTTGTTTTTATTAAAACCAATCAAGAGATGATTTAAGCCTTGAGCACATTGCAGTATTCTAATATAAACATTAGAAGATTTTGTATGATTGCAATGAGACAACTCTCGAGCAAATGACATAGAAGTTAACAACTTTATGTCACTGTATGGCCTTCAACATTGAGCAATACCGATTCCGAATAGTAAACTATAAAAGGCCCCGAAATGACAAATGTAAAATAATTCAAACGAGACAACAACTAACGGCCTAATTTAAGTACAAAACAATAAACGAAAAAAAATATGATGTACAGCAACAAACGACAACCACTGAACTACAAGCTCCTGCCTTTGGAAAGGGACATACAGAATGTGGCGAGGTTAAACATGATTGCTGGCGCTAAATAAAGGCAACAGTAGTATACCGCTGTTCGAAATTCATAAATCGATTGAGAAAAAAAAAAATTCGGGTTACAAACTAAAACTGAGGGAAACACATCAAATATAAGAGGAGAACAAAGACACAACAGAAACACTAACATGCAACACACACAGAAACGAACTATAAGATAAAAATAGCCATTTTTCTGACTTGGTACTGGACATTTTAAGAAAAAATGGATGGTTGAACCTGAGACAGTGATGTAACAGTACCACATAAGAACACATAAGTATGTAAGGGACTATTATTTTCTTAAATATACATAAAATATGAAATGTATTGTACCGTCTCTAATTGCACCATTCGATGTAATTAGATTTGAAAATGTCTCTTTTTGCTTAACTGTTAACTTTACAAAGACTGAAAAAAAATTATAGCGATTAGATTAAACACCAGAGGTGTTCTTAAGGAATGGTGACCTGTAGATGCATCATATCCGGTAAATATTCTATTAACACACTTTTGTATTATTTGAAACTCTTAATGGTTATTTTACCCCTAGGCATGGATGACATAAGCCGTATTTGGCACAATGTTTTTGATTCTTGTGTTTCCAATGTTCTTTAACTTTGTACTTGAAATGGCATTCCAACTTACTTTGATTCGAGCGCCTCTGATGAGTTTTATGCATACGAAACGGCGAAATGGCGTAACAAATTATCAAGCTGATATTTTTTATTATAGGATTAAACGCCTTTTAAAAGGAATTTATTGGTGTATAAACTCGACCAATTCACTCACAAACAAATAAAAGTCCGAAGGACTTTTATGATATGTTTGTGAGTGACTTGGTCCAGTTTATACACCAATAAATTCCTTTCAAAAGGCGTTTAATCCTTATAATTCTTTAAACTGGAGATAACTTAAAGGAGTTTATTTTTCCACACTCATAACCTCTTTCACACGTAAATTGTATATTTATGTCATTGAATTGGCCTGGCGCAAAAATATATTTATTGGTTAACGCAAAAGTATGTACTCCATGAAATTTGCTATCTGATAAAAAATAAACTACAAAAACTCATAATATCATTCAAATAAATGTTTTGTGTTTATTATTTAATTTGACGATTAACGTGAAGCGAACAGAAATAAATATTTTTAACGTCGAGCCGGATTTTGTTATTATCGTCGCCATCTTGTTTACATTGGTTACAAAAAAGAAGTTCGGTTATCGTCGTCTATCGAAAAATAAACAACGTCAAGAACAACTACAGGAAGTCCTCTCGGCCAATCATATCAACGTATTCCCTAATATGCAATCATATAAGAATTATTAGCTTTTATATCCACGTTATTTTGTCTCTGGTGTTTCGTTGATCAATAACCACATCTTCAGATTTTATATTGATATCTATGACAATGAATTCAACCACTTTGATTATGTCTGCAGAAATTTATCAACACATTTTATATTTTGACGAACTAACATAGCTTTACTTTTACTGTAAATTAAAATGTTTTCTAAACATGAAGAAGACTAACTTTATGAGGGCCTCAAGTGAGATTAGTGAAAACTAATTCGGTTACTTACAAATTACCACTCCCGTTAGCGCCATGTGTCGCAAAGGGCGCGATAAGTCGTTCTTCCAGTTCATGTTTCTGTAACTTTTTGTTTTTTACGAGGATAATTTGTTGGCATATCGCTCAATCCTCAACCTGGAGAGCAAGAGAATCTTTACTCAAGGTTTCTTTCCTTTAGATCAGTTGTCGACCAAGGCTGGCGAGTCAAATCTACCCAAATTTTATACCAGAGTTATCTTCCCCTAGATGAATTACCTCCCAAAGCTGACTACCTTCATCCGGCCGTCTATTAACCCATAACTGGGGCAATGTTGATGCGTGCTAGGGCATGTCCACACGCCGATGTGCAAACACTGCATCTCTAGGGTCCTTGCTACTCTGAGATCATCTACACTAGATCCTAGTTACCACGTGCTGTCGCGAGGAGGCACTGTAGAAGTCTTGATAGTGCAGAGGCTATTTAATTTGGTTACCTTATTTAAATCAAAAATATTATTATTATTATTTTTGTCATTATTAGTTGTACATGTAGTATAATATAATGAGAAATAAAGAAAAATATAATTTTTTAAGGCGACGTTATGGATTTTTAAAGTGACTTCGTTTCTTATAACGCGAGTGTGTATCCGCAGCGTTGCCTATCTGTTGTATTCAACTGATATGAAAATATAGTTTATTCAAATTTATTTTCTATGACATTTTTGAGGAAAATGAAATGAATACAGAACAAAAATTGTCATAATAAATACTTCCAGTGAAAGCAAGTTACTGTTTGAATTTGGTTTTGTCCTAGTTTACATCGAGTTGACCGAATTATGAACCTTAATATTTAAAATGCTTTCATAATGGATATCATTGATGTAGCATTATAAAAACAATTGGTAAGTTAAATCAGTTTTTTTGTTTTTTTTAGGGGGGGGGGGGGGGGAGTAAAATTACCTAATCATACTATCTACGTTCTTGAATGTGAAAAAAATCTTCATTCTCCCTAATAATTTAAGCAAGATATCTTACCTTTAATAACGTCCCACGGTTTAACGACGATAATCAGTAGTTTCATGTACAATGAAGTCTCTTCATCAATCTTAAGAACTTGAAAAGAATTTTAGAAATTATGTGTATCTTGTTTTTCTTTTCTTTTATAACATCTTTAACATAAAAGACAACGATCAAACATGCATGCATGTGATTTTGAACGTTTGAATTTATGGCATTCATGTCATTATATATAATCTGATTTACACATAACTATGGCTTTGGTGAAACTGTGGCTTAAGATGATAAAATATGGTGTTTATATATTTGTATATGATTGTCAAAATTATTTGTCTCTCAATAATGAAATTATGGTAATAAATCACTTAGCTCATCATAGGCCATTTTATTGGAATACAAATTTCTTATCTTATGACAAGACACAGAGACGAAGACTGAAAAATCATATGTCGTTCCCTTAAGCCTTGTTAGTTCAATCTTTTAGCTACAAAATATGAATAACCGTTTGATCTGAAGACTTCTCATCAGAACAGATGGTTAAAACTACCGTTTTAAAATGCTCGGCATCACATTGCAGATAACCATTTCTGGGTAAATTAAAAATAAATATTCTTCTATTTAAAAGAGTGACAGAAGAAAGGTGTTTTGTTATATTGGAAATAAACAGTCCACATTTGTGCTTCAATAATACATAATGCTAACAGTTAGATATAATGGAAATCATGTAAAATGCTTCAACTTTATCGTTACAGTTCATATTTACACTTTTTTAACCGGTTTTCTGTTTACAAATCTAAATTGCATAAGTAACGTATAACAATGAAAAGGAAAAGCCTGTACCAAGTCAGGAATATGACAGTTGTTTTCCATTCGTTAGATGTGTTTGAGCTTTTGATTTTACAATTTTATAAAGGACTTTCTGTTTTGAATATCCCTTGGAGTTCGGTATTTTTTTATTTTACTTTTTGATACTGTCGATATAAAATACTGCTTACAATCAATTTTTAAAAGAGTATGATTTTGCCTTTTTGAATTGCATAGTATCAAACTTATTTCTTTTTGTAGACTGACTTGTCATTAATGAGACAGCTTTCTATGCGGTATGGATTTTGCTCATTGTGGAATTTTGTACGATGATCTATATGGTGCGAACTTCTACGTCATTTAGTCTCTGGTGGTCAGTTGTCTCATTGGCAATCATATTAAATTCCTTATTTTACATTAAATATAATATCTCCAATCATGCAATAAGATTGAGTATTTCAATACTAGTTTAAGGTATTTGAACATTTGCACAATTGTCTGCCTTTCAAACAACTGACCCTGACAAAATTTACAAAAACACAAACGGTGTATTTAGTCACGGTGTATATCATTATATTAACACAACTATTCCAAAGCTAGTTTTGTTTTATTATATATGAAATGTTTAGCAATCAGGTAAGCTGTGCCATTCTTATAATTCGATTTTTATCTTTAACATTATTTTGATTTAACCTAGATACAATTGTATAACTAGATGCAATAGAAAAAGTAAAATAACTAAAATACCGAACTCCAAGGAAAATTCAAAACGGAAAGTCAATGTCTGGTAGCTCAAGGTCAATGATGGTGTAGTAATTAGACTTTACTTTTCCGACAACGAATTCGAACTTTAGAAGTCTGTGCACTTGAAAGGGCGTCAAAGAGATTTAGGATTAATAAATCTAAGATTTGAATCAGTTTGTGAGATTGAAAAAAATAGCACACTGTAAGTAAAATTTTACTTCCAGTTACTGTTTGTTTTCCCAGTTTATTCAATCTATAAAAACATTTTCGAAATTCAGACTATGCCTAAAATGATTATTCTCATTCCAGAGAGGTAGATTGTTATATGCAGTGAAATGCACCACAGTGATGTTTTTCAAACGGTTTGCAATATAAATTTGTGTTTTTGGTTTCTCTTTCCACTGCAAAACATTTAATGAGGAGGTGTTAACCTTGCATCTGAAGTGAAGTATATATTTCCCTGATATTTAAAAGGAACATGTTGAAACAAGTGCTCTAAATGGCGAAACAGATGTTGTTTCTTTAAAAATTTTATGGATGCCATTCTATTATCATTAATCGTATTAGTAAAATATCTATGTCTCAGATAAAAAAGAATAAAACACCGAAGATACCAAGGCGACATTCAAAACTCACAAGTCGAAAAAAAAAACAAAACTGACAAAGTCATGGCAAAAAACGAAAAACGACGGAAAGACAAAAAACAACATTGCATACAAACTAAAGACTGAGCAACACGAACCATAACAAAAACCGGGACTGAACTCAGATGCTCCGGAAAGGTAAGCAGTTCCGCTACACATATCGTGTTGCTCATGTAAGTACAAATCTAGTGATAAGTTTCATTCTATGATGTCACTAGCAAGGCAAAACTTCGTAAAACTTTCAACGGGATGACTTCAAGTTTACACTTGGAAACCTAGGTTATTTCCTTTCCTTCTGATACCATGGATATTTTCAATATAATTTGTTACATTATGAAATGCATTTTTATAAAATTTCACTTGATCAACATTGCTCCTCGTGTATTTATGCATTCTTCCTCAACCAGTTTTGCTCTGAGCGTTTCTTTTGAAAGTTGAATATTTTTTTCAATGCAGCATTTTTATTTTGATCTACTTTGATTAGTTATGAAAATATTATGTTTTCATTTTACAAAAATAAGTCCTTGAGTTGTCGAAATTATATTTTTCGTACCTTATTTCTTAAAAACACTTTCATATTAGTCCGATTTCTCAAATGTAATGTCAGAAAATCGATTCGAACAAATTTCCTAACAAATCAAATCTAACTTTTTTAACTGAATTTTGTTTTTAATCTTTAAATATGAAAATAAGGAGATGTGGTATGATTGCCAATGAGACTACTATCCACCAAAGTTCAAAAGAGGTAAATGTAAGCAATTATAGGCAACTATACGACCTTAAACAATGAGAAAAACCTATACCGTATAGTCGGCTATAAAAGATCCCGCTATGAAAAATAAGAAACAATTCAATTGAGATAACTAACGGCCTTATTTTTTACAAAATAATTTACGAAAAACAAATATGATAGAATGAACCAACGACAACCAATACAAGCTCCTGACAAGGGACAGGCACATAAAGAATGTGGCGGGGTTCAAGGTATTTATGAGCGCTCACACTCTCCGTAACCTGGGACAATGGTGTTACAGCACATCATAAGAACAATCTGTAAAAATCAGTAGCAATTGGCTTAACTCAAAAGATCGGTACGAGGAACAAAAACAACTCACATAAAAACAATAGACACAAAGCACAGAAATAAGAGTACTCGCAGTTACTTAAAGCTAGTTCAAAGCCAATTACAAATAATAAATAAATCATGTTTCCCAAACTATAGATCAATCATTACACATCGAACGGATTTAGTGTTAAGACGTAATAAACAGTCTGAGAATCGCACGACCTTGTGCAAGGTCAAACTATAGGTAAACAGTATGAACAAGATGTAAGATCATATAAAGCAATATATATATATATATATATAGTTATGTTATAATTTAAAAATAAACAAAATCAATGTTAATACCAATAAAAACAATATTTATAAAGATTTGACTTCTGTGTTAAATTAGTGATTGGTAAGAATAAGTTTATGCAAAGTATCAATAAGTTTTTTATGAATCGTATCTAAATTTAACGGATTTATAAACAACATTGCCGTAAATATTATGATGTGATATCCCGTTTTTAATAAGGTACAGCTCAAATTCTTAACCAAATCGTTGCATATATGAAAGAATATAGTAAAGGTTTTAATTAATTTGGACAGTTTCTCTTGAAATTTAAAATATTTTTTTAAAAATAAACGCGGTTGAGAGCAAACAATTAAGATGCATGTAAATTAGACTAAGTACTTTTGTTACTTGATATTGAATTCAAGTGTTTTACTGTACAGTCCACGAGCTTATATCTCTTATACACCAGGTGGTTTTTATTCATGTGTATGTTCGTTGAGTACACGAACAAGAGCATACATCAAATATTGTTACGTTGTATTTCGCGCGGATATAACATAGAAAAAAAGCTTGTAGGCGTGGGTCGTTCATATTGTTACAACCTTAAGTATATTTAATTCAATTATGAAATTAGATAAAATCTAAGAATGATTATGTCTTTCAATGCTAGTTTAAGGTGACATTCACTAATTAAGGTACTTAAACATTTGCACAATTATAAATTGCGTGTATTCTTTTCAAATGACTTCCCCTTTACAAAACCATAAAGTGTATTTAGTTATGGTGTAAATCATTAAATTAACACAACTCTTTCAAAGCTAGTTTGTTTTATAATATATGAAAGGTTTAGTCACCCGGTAAGCACAGCCATTCTTCTTAATCTTTTTTTTAATGATTTAGTGGTAGTCATTTCTTCAAAATTTTACAGACGCCATTCTTTGGAATATTTAGTGAAATGACATCAACTTTAAGGCGGAATGTAAAGTTAAGTTTTAATGCTAGCTTCTTTTCATTCTTTCTGAGAAGACTATCGATATGTTTTAATTAGTATAGGCACAATACCATCATTTTTTCCTTATTTATGACGTTACCAAATGCGAACAATCACATGATTTTTCTTTACTACGAACGAGTTGACTATCAAATTGAATTATAAATGTATCAAATGATGTTGAATAGTCTAGAGGGTACAATCTGCTCATTGGTTAAAAGGTCGGCAATGGCCAAGCATTGACTTTGTTACATAATGAAATACATTGTGAAAAAATCTCACTTGATAAACTTTGTAATTTTTTATAAATTAGAATAAAACTGACAATATAGACAGTTTTTGATGCACACTTCCTCAGCCAGTATTTTGTTGAGGTTGTTCATATTTTTAAATGCATCATCTTTATTATATTGTACTTTGATTAGCAATGAAAAAAATTATGTTTTCATTTTGCAGGAGTTGAGTTAACTATACGTTCGTACCTTCTTCATCGAAAGCTCTTCACTTTTAGTCCGATTTCTCAAATGTACTATCAGAAAAATCTATTCGAACAACATTTTCCAATCTAAATAAATGTTAAGACAGTTCCCTTTGATTGTTCTTAATACTCAAATTCAATAAAACTATTTGAAACACACTTTTTTCTTGGCATTGTATGTTACAATATGGAGGTCATGTTTAGTGTAACGTACAGTTTTTCTGAACTAGTATACATTGGTGGCTTTAGGCTGTTTTCTGCTCTTTGGTCGGATTGTTGTCTCTTTGATACATTACCCGTTTCCATTCTCAATCTTAGTAGACTATCGAGATAAAGAATAACAGATTCACAAAACGACGTAAAATCGATAACAAAAACTCTGAGGAGGGACACAATTACGAGGTAAAATGTGTTCAACCCCCACAACATATCATCTAATTCCAGACAATTCAAATTTTCGCCTTCATTCCAAAGGAACCTCCTAAATAAATAATATCTTTGTTTCCGTCTTAAATATTCGTGAAGTGATTAAACAAAGACAAAATATAATTTTTTTGTTTTAATAAACATAATTATAATATATATACTTTCAGTAATGGCACAATCACCCATGAATAGTAAAAAAATCATCACGTGTCCAGAACATCAATCGGAAAAAGCAAGATTCTTCTGTGAAGATGATCATGTGATGATATGCGATGACTGTATCATTGGAAGTCACTGCGGTCATAAGAAAATCAAACTTAAAGATTATCTCAGCAACAAAAGGCAACATTTGATACACAATGCAAAAGAAATTAGAGATAACAAACTTCCTAACATACAGGATGCATTGGAGAAGACACTGAAAGGAAAAACAGATTTTAATAATTCTGTCGATAAACAACTTGAGAGGGTAAAACTTAGACGAGAAATGGTAAAGAAAGTTTTAGACGAATTACAAGATGATTTGGTCCAAAATTTTGAATCTGCTAGAAATGCAGCGAACGAGGAGTTTGACAAATTTTCTTCTAAGCAGGAATTAAGAATAAATTTAATCCAAGAAACTATACATACTGTGGAATCCAGAAGTTCGGACATGTTGGATGCAGAGGTAGTGTCCTACGATGAAAAGCTATCATCAAGCCTGACAGATGATCCTTACTGGGACGTAGCACCGATGATTCAACCACCAAGACATCAGTGCCAAGATGATTTAGTACAAAAAGGTAAATTGCAGACTATCCTTGGCTACATGGAATCAGGGACTTATGCTGAAGTTGCTGAAGTTTGGCAAAGCGTGGATGAAGATACACAAGAGGAAAACGGAAGTAATTCTTGTCCAGGATCAATTATAGTTGAAGATAAGAGAGATTTTGTGGCTGTTAAAACGTTTAAACGTACTGCTAAAGTCGCCCATATTGTACCAAAGCATAGTCTACAAGCATGGCTTATTGACAGCGATATCGAAGAAGTAGACTGTAGCACGGGAATGTTAAAAACAAAAATAATAAAGACTATTGAAGAGAAACCACAGTGTGCCGCCCTTAATAATACAAACGAGCTTATCATTGGGATGTGGAATAAGAAGTCACTCAAGCAGCTGAAATACGGTGGATCATTCGGATTCAGTTTCTTCTCTAGAAATAGAAATTATACCCTTGGAATTTATAAGAACACTGCACCTCTTCAAGCTGTGTGTTTATGTACCTGTAAATCCACGTCCGTTGATGGTGACATTACAGTATGCCTTGTCAATAAACCAGCCTATGACCAATATTCAGTTAAAAATTTGATTATTCGACGATATGCAAAGGACAAAACACAGCTTCAAAGTGATCTTGTTTTATCGGAAGATAAAATTGATATTGAAGCGCCATCTTATATTTCCGAAAACACGAAAGGGGATTTATGTATAGTAAGTTGTCCGGAAGGAAAGGCTTCATGGATTACCATTACGGATGAAACTGGGATCATGAAATTTAGATATCCAGAGGCCGATCTGAGGGTTGTAGACCGAATTGATTATGATTTTATAGGTGCAGGATTTCTATCTGACGGAACAATTACAGTGTTAGATAGAATAGGTTTTAGACAACATCTAGTCGACAAAGTAGGCGTGTTACTTCAAATAGACACGCATGAGAGTCAGCCTGCATGTCTGGCTATTGCTCCTAACGATCATATCTGGATCGGTTTTGAAGATGGACATGTTAAAATATTTACATACAGAAATGAATATTCTGAGATTTTATTAAGAGCTTTAAGCATGAAGAAAACAATTAAGAATCAAAGAAAGGAAGAAAATTGTGCATGTTAACACTTTGATCATAACTGCAATCTAAAATTCTGGGAGATGGATAGCCTAATTATGTTAACCTTTCGTTATCTAAGTTCTTCGAAGGATGCATAAAAATGCACACAAATGTGTTTATAAATTTTGTTCTTTATAAATCAGACTTTTCACGGATGCCATTCAATATATCTAAACAAATGATCGTAAAAAAATAAGTCACGATTGTAAAGTATTACGATCTGATCTTGAACTATCTGGAATGGGATTGTGAATGCAATAGAAACAACTTCAAAATCTGTGGATATATCCACTTTATCGGTAATTTGCTCTTTTTCTTTGATGTGCACACGATGGTAATGTCAGTACCAGTCGTGATAAAAAATTATTGGGTCAGTTTGCAATTGACATGTGCGAGTTCAACGCGTATGGATCTACTTTCCCTTTCATTCACAAAATAGAGCGCGTATTTTTCGCAGAAACGCACGAGCGTTTTGGTGAATGAATTACTTGTCACTGTTTCAGAAAAGTTAATTTTTTGAACGATTGTGTGAAAATTTGAACAGAAAATGTACGAAAAACCCGATGAATTAAAACAAATTGCGTTACCCGCCGTATTATTGATAGCTTTCCTTACTATTCCGATCTGTGGTTTTATTTACAAATAGTCTGGTGCTGTTCTAAGATGTCTTCTTTTTCTGTTTCTTGAAAAGTATTTGTTCAACCTGTTCAGTCACCATTAAGTGTTAGTATTCCTATTTAGACGCAACACATAAATAGTGACCAAAAAGGTACCGCTATCGCATGAGAGAAGCTAGAATAACTATATACCCATAACGAGACGGATGGACGGAAAGACAGACGGACGGACGGAAAGACAGACGGACGGACAGAAAGACAGGGGTAAAGCAATATGCCCCCAACTTTCAGTTATGGGCATACAAATCTTCAAACAATTATGTAAACTTTAATGTGTGTACAATTTGTCAATGAATTTGAAAGAAGATTGTTTTGAAAACTGTAAAAAGACTTCATTACAAAAAATTGGTACTTTCTGTCCAAAAAAATACTTAAGTTCTCGAATTTGGAAAAATGAGGAAAAAATCCTAAAACAATTCCATAATAACAGGGTATAACCTCAATTTGCATGCTATCTCTCTGTGAAATTAGAAACACACACTAGAGATATTTCTGGGTCCACCACTGTTTATCATTAAAATTCAAATAAAATTTAAGAATTTAGATAGTTTTGTTAAAAATAATTGCTCTTATCATATTGGTACCCATTCCTCCCAAATTGCATAAGAGCTGAGCATAAAAGTAATAAAACCAAACTCCTATCATTCTTGAGATTTTATGTAAGTTCATTTTCTATGAACATTTAAAAAAACATATTTATTATCAAATAGCAGGAACATTAACAACATGATTAAAGATCTGAGAATGGAAAAAAAACAAAACAGTTCTGATGATTAATTCCCATTATTATTTTTAGGTAGTATTTTCAGAAGCGAAATGAATCAATTATTAATAACGCATGGTAAAAATGATGAAGATAAGACCTTGAAACACTAACCATCACTTTATATCTTTTTTCTTCCACTTTCATTTTAACATTCGCTGACTTAACAATTTCATCTGAAATTTTAACACTGTTTATTTCTACTGCTTTCCAATCCACAGCAGCCATGCTCTCTTTTTTGTCTTTTTCTGGTTCCTTGTTCCCTTGTGTCTTTTCTACTTCTTTGTTCACTTGCAGCTTTTCTGGTTCCTTTCTAAATTCTTCTTGTTTTTGTTCCTTGTTCAGTTCTTGCTTTTCTGGTTCCTTCTTAATTTCAATATCTTTTTCCGGGTTCTTTTTTTAATTCTTCACTTTTAATATCTCTAACTCTTGACTGCTGCTGAAGATAAGACTCATTTTGTTGTCACTGAATTTATCGTACAAATCAGAGTCAGTCCCCCGTTTGTATTATTACTACTAGTAATCCAATGATAATAGCTAATGCTGTTTTATTTATATGTACTCCAGGTGGCGTCATTAAACATAATGATCTTGCATAATCTGAATTAATTACAAGAGATGCATGTAAAAATTTACCTGTATACGACATACAAGAGTTAAAAAAATGTCACCATAAGGTCATGTCAAGGTACAGAAAATAGGCTATGTCACAGACTTTGGCTCATTAAACTTAACTGAAAATCGAAAAAAATAATGCATTTGGTGAATATTTGTATAGAGAGAACATAAAATCGACAAAAAAAATCTTAAATATGTTCTAAAATTATCAAATCTCCAATTTCAAATTCATATATATATTTTTTTTTAAATCGAAGTCCCTCTTCGAAAGATTTGAAGAGTAGTTTGAATAATTTCAAATTATATTTACGTTTGGTGTGGACAAAAAGAGCTTTAATATAGCACTATTGCAGACACTTTCATAGATAGACTTGAAACTAAGATTTTTATTGTCTCCAAATTTAATCTAGAAAAGTTGTTTTGGGGGCATTTTGTAAGTTGAAATATATGTATACTATTTTTCTTCTGTAAGAATTACTTATTGATTTTGAAAACAACAATATGAAACTGATAATTTGAAGTTGTAGGGTGTATTTTAATTAAATTCATAATTTTAAATTTTCCAGAAAGGGACATTCAAAAAGTACTTTTTCAACTTAAACAAATTAAAGAACTTATTTTACTGAAATCGAGGTTCTTTCTCCATTGCAAAAATACATTTCCTGTATTCAAATAACTAATATTGTTAAAAGAAATTTGTAACCAAAATTATTGATTTTAATTATTTATGACCGGTGATTATTGCACTAAAGCACTAAACTATCAAGTAAAGTAATACTGTATTGACCCCATTTGAATACCTTTTTTTTTATATTGAAATTTTATATTATGTCTTTTCTTGTGAAAAAAAATCTTGTTAATCGATAATCTTTTATCTTTCAGACAAAGTTTATAGTATCATTTTATGTAGTATAGATCCAACGTAATCGGTGAATGAATAAATCTATCATTTCTATATATCAAAAATATAATATTTACATTTTTGTATTCATTTATGAGGTCAAGTATTTGTGTATTGAGTAGTGTAATGAGGAATGCTTAATTATGAAAGACTGAGGTTGATTTGTAATTTGGTCAATATTATTGACAGTTACAGAGGTGGACATTCTAGTTAAGGCCCCACCTGGTCTATGATTGTTTGGTGATTATGTATATGTTAGAGAATGATAATCCCTTTCTTCATGATTAAGTACGAGCTTTAGCGAGTACTTATCATGAAGTAAGGGATTATCATTCTCTTACAAACTTAGAATATTGTAAAGTGCTCAAGACTTAAATGATCTCTTGATTGGTTGTATTTAAGAATAAGTTTCATTGTCAGTGCAATGTTTGTAATTAATGCATGACTTCCTTTTTTAGGCATGATTTCATTTATGGATTAGTTTAAGTGATGTAAGGACCTTCTTATAATTTTGGAAAATATCATAAATTATGTTTTATACATTAGATGACACAACAGTACAATGAAATGGTAAGAAATGTTTCCTGAAATTTGTGAGTATGAATGTAAATCATGTAATATTTTAGCGAGGAATTATCTTTTTGTTTATGTCTATTTCAAATCAATAAATTCAAACTTTGAGTTACAAATAAATTTTATTTCACATTCAATATTTTAGTCCAGTCCTTTACATCAAATACTACTTCATTATGTCAGGGAAATGTTCAAATACAATGCCTTTAAAATAGTTAAAAAAATATTCAAAAGTTAAACTAAATTCCTTTTTTTAGAATTTTATCAGAATATTGGAAATAACTATTCTCACCAACCTGAAGATTAAGGTTTTTTTTAATTTTAAAACTTTTTTTGTTTTTGTTTTGCATTGCATTGCTTTGGTCTTGTTTATTTATTTTTTTAGTAATTTGAAGTTATTAATATTCTCATAATAACGTTAACGGTACCAATGTTACTGCACCAGTAAACTTCATCTAATTTTGATTTTTTTGTTTGTTTCAAAATTCAACTTTTAGTCAGTTTTAATCACAAGTTCTTTCAAGCTGATAAATGTGCTTCTACTGTAAGTAGACCTAAACAATAGGATAATCCCTTACTAAGAACATGATTTCATTCTTCACAATTAAGAAACACCAAATCCTACAATTCCATTGGTTGAGAGCACTTTGCTATATTCTAAGGCAATGGCAAATCATACTGGTATTGTATCATAACTCTTATCTAATTAAAATGACAAAACTAGACTTCAAATTAACAAAACTAACGACATACGCACTTGAATGAGGTATGAATGCCATTTACCGTCAGGCGCCAAACGGTCATTTTCGGCTACCGACAGCATCAAATTGAAATTGGTTAAAATTTTATCGTGGTTCGTCAAAATATCCTTATCGTGATTCGTCAGAGGTCTCAAATAACTATCAGTAACTGTTATTTTTGAAAAGAATTTAACGTGATTCGTCAAAATCAATCGATTTTTTAAGGTCGTAAAGAAAATGTACATTTTATCGTCATACACCAAAAATTGTTTTTTTTTACCGTTATTCGTCATGCAGGTACCCCCATTACGACTCTCTTGAATGTACTTGTCGATAGATTTAACCCATTTTTTCACAGGTCATACATTATATGTACACAGACAAGAGAATTATAGGAAACTATATTTCAGCGTATATATTTTGTTGATAATCAGTGCTACTTTCTGTTTGGGAGGCCGGTGCCTTAGGAAAGAATTGGAACTATAATTCCAATCTTTCCAAACAATCATATGTTGTTGAAACATAAAGTTCCGTTTTAATATATAAAATAATCATATGGTCATCCACTTCGTTTTTTGGCGTTATTCACCACAAACTAGGTAACAGATTGGTTAATACACCAAAAATGAAGTCAATGACCATATGATTATATATTACTTTTTCAATTTTCAGTTATAGTTCAACAAGCCTAAGTTCTATGCAAAATTTTAACAAAATCTGTGACAAAAAAAATAAATAAGAAGATGAGGTATGATTGCCAATGATACACATATCCTCCAAATATCCACCCAATAAGTTGTAAGTAACTATAGGTCACCTTTTGACTCTCAACAATGATCAAAA